GAAGCAAGCAATGCTTGCCCCTTAACACTAATATAATGCTGTCACACTCGACGCATTACACCATCCTGTGTACACACACACACACACACACACACACACACACACACACACATACAGGTATAAAAATACTGTAAAGCACTGCCAGCATTTGTATTTACAAATAACTTATAGTTTTTTAAACACAAGACACACTATTATCCGAGATTGTGTTTATCTACATAAAAAATAATCAATTATATCTGTGTTGTTAATATTTCCTTCCCATAAATAATTACACACGCGTAAGTGATGATATATTTACCTTTTTTTAAGTATGATGGCAATTGAAACATGGAATAAATAATTATATGAAGTTTTATGAAAGCTGACACACACACACACACACACACACACTAGCCTGAAGTCAGTTAAACACTCGTATACAATGGAAACAAAACATTTTCCCACAACCAGTCAACAAAACTGTTCTCCTCCCAATGATGAAATGAACATTTTTCTCCTCAGATGTTAAATTAACACCGAAATTCAGAACAATGTTTGTTTATACAACATTAAAAACTGAAGCTGTACAGTAGTAGTTTGCTCACCTTGTGTGTGTGTGTAATAGTAATAATAATAATAATAATAATAATAATAATAATAATAATAATAATAATAATAATAATAATAATAATAATAATAATAGTAATAGTAATAGTAATAGTAATAGTAGTAGTAGTAGTAGTAGTAGTAATAATAATAATAATAATAATAATAATAATAATAATAATAATAATTATTATTATTATTATTAAAGGTTTATTGAGAAAGTTCTGCAGCCTGAATGTTGAAAATATTCATTAGACAAAAATGAATTATTACATACAAAGGTGGGTCGTTTACCAAAAGCTTTCATTGAACATACAAATTATTATAGCTTGCAGCTGATGGCCTGGGCTGGTCTCTTGCCATACTATGTGAGGTCACGTAGGCCACGTGGTGCATTAATTCGTCCGTAGATGTTGACATGAAGGACCTCACGTGGTCATGGATACATCGGGTGGTGTGGTGTTCATGTGGTATAGTAATTCGTCTTCTGGTGTTGATATGAAGGACGTCACGTGGTCATGGAGACACCATGTGTTGTGGGGTGGTGTCACAGTACCTCACTCTCTGCTAGGTGGTGCTGTGTTATCTTGTAATCAGGTGTAAAGCCGTTCCTCTGTTGTTCCCAGGGTGGACTGATTAACAACGTCTGGTCAAAAGATGGTGGTTGGTTCCCAGGGGTGCTTATCTCACTGATGAGTCACTGCTCTTGCTGGTACTGTCTAGTGCTGAATTCACTAGCTTAAACACTGTTCATCACTGTTCAACACTGATCACACTTCTTTCCGAAACGAAATTGTCACTTGTGATGGGATTATGTTGATATCCCGGTGGTGAGGATGGGTTGGGGAGAGTGAGTTGGGGAATGGGCCAACATTGGCCAAGGGGGCAGTTGCTCAGCGGGAGCAGCGCCTGATAGGTGGAGACGGAAACTGGAGGATTTGACAACTTCACTGACGTGTGGTTTCCAATTTAGTTTGTTGTCTATGGTGACGCCGAGGAGCTTAGTGGAATCTATAACCTAGAGTGTTGTCATGGTTTTGGGGTGGATCTGTGGTAGTAGGAGTGGATTATATTATATCAAGATAATAATATGTCGTATTTCTTATTTCTTACCGTAGAGTCCGATACCTTCACACTGATTACTTACAGGAGATTATGGCGTATCTACGTAGAAGTTCACTCCACCACTCGACATTCCATGATTTATACTTGATAAATGATGATTTAATGAATTCATTTAATTTTCAACATCTATCTAAGTTACTGGTTATACTATGTCATAACCAATCAGTCATTACCTTTAGTAATAATGAGATAGGATCACAGATACGGGCAGATAATTGCACTTACAGTTATTTGTCAAGCTTCCATACAATGATTTACAATTTGCATGGATATATGATTTACTCACGTTCACGCTGTAATAAAATTAATCTTCTAAAACAGGGAATTTCCAACTTGGGGACACATGTGATTACTCTACTGTGGTATGACTTAACAGAGCCTTAATTCTTCAAGTGATTCATTTACTGCCAGCCTGGATTGCTTTTGTTGCAACCAGGCTTCATCACAAGAACTTCTTCCCACGGCCATAACAACAAAAAGGTACTCTTGGGTTACCACACATAGTCTCGCGTCACTGACAGTCACTGTGGACGGTTGTCGCGGCAAGTAGAACTGGTAAGCGTGACTTGAATTAACCATTAGGTGCAATAGACCAGCCTGGATTGCTTTTGTCGCAACCAGGCTTCCACACGTGATATTTCCACGGGGATAACAAACCTAGGTTAACACACTTAGTCTCGTGTCGATCACGGTCACGGTAGACGGGTGTCGTGCAGGAGAACTCTGTAAGCGTGAATTAATTAACCATTTACTGTAGGTTTGATAGGCCAGCCTGGATTGCTCTTGTCGCAACCAGGCATCCACACGTGATATTTCCACGGGGATAACAAACCTAGGTTAACACGCTTAGTCTCGTGTCGACGACGGTTCACAGGACGGAGTGGCGGTGGAGTACTCTGTGTGGTGTGGTGTCCCGCCCCCCCTTCAGGAGGGAGAGAGTCAAGACGACGTCTTAACTAACCCATGGCTCAGGGGATACTACTCAAAATGTGGTTTTTGGGTGTGAAGCGATGAACAGTACAACACTGTTTCACTGCCCACCCCCCTAAAGGCTGGCTAACATACACTAATTGAAAAATACATGTCCCAGTTATGCCTCGCCGGGCGTCTTATCTCTGGTAAAACAAACTTTGGAGTTGGTTGCGTGGGTAAGCCTAACGCAACCCATGACAAGTGTGTTGGGACCTAAAGTAATGGAAGGGGGTGGGACAACGTCGGAGGAGAGGGTGATGTGCATAACCATGATCTTGGTATGGTCGATGGTAACGTGGTTGTTGGTGGCCCAGTTTTGGAAACTGTTCAATAAATTCTGAAGGGTGGTATAGTCAGGAGCAGAATTGTAGACACTGATCACAAAGGTGGAGTCGTCGAAATATTTCCAGCGACCACGGGTTTCTCTTAGGGCATCATTGATAAGCATAAGGAAGCATAGTGGTCCCATCCTGGTGCCTTGGGGGACGCCACAGGTGAGTGACTAAAAGGTGGAGACAGCCTCTCGGAAGCGTACAGCTTGGCGTCGATCACTGAGGAAGACTAGAAGCCATGGTATAAGACTTCTTCGAAACCCAAGGTCTATAGCTTTGTTGATGATTAAATTGTGGTCTACTAGGTCAAATGCCCTGGTGAAGTCAATGAAGGCGACAGCCACAGACGTTTTTCGTTTTTCCAGATGGCGGTATATGTAGTCGAGAAAGCTGACAACACAGCGAGTGCTGGAGGAAGTTTTCATATTACCAAATTGCTGAGGATCTACGGCTCCTGCAATATCAGCATAAGCCTAGTCAAACACAAAACTTTCACGGATTAAGCTGAGTATTGGGGTGATTTCAATGGGTCGTAGCTGATTTAAGGATTGTGGGTTGGTTGACTTGGGCACTGGTGACACATATGAAGTCTTCCAGTCAGCTGGGCATCTGGCTGGACTGAGGGGAGCATTGATGATGGAGCAGAGGGGTTTACCTAGCTCCGGGGAGAACTCCTTGAAGAGTTTCATTGGTTAGTCAATGGGGATGGTGGAGCGTTTTAGCTTCAGTTTGTCCAGACATTTTGCTACTTCAAATTCTTCTACTAACTCAGTGGGAAAGGGGGCTGGTAGGTAAGCAGGGAGATTGCTTGTGTCAAGCCGGGAGGGTGGCGTCTGGCATATAGTAGCGAAATAGTTATTTGATTGCTCAGCTGCATCTACATTAGTGAGATGGCTAAGGAAGGGGAGGGGGTGTGTCTTATTGTTTAGTCCACAGAGTTCTTTAAGCTTACCATACTACTGTGTGTGTGTGTGTGTGTGTGTGTGTGTGTGTGTGTGGTCAGTTTGTTTACCTCGCAAGTGAGTGATCCCGGGTTCGATCCCCAGGCAGGATGAAACTATGGGCATGTTTCTTTTCACCTTTTGCCTAGGTATACCAGCAGTAATTGGGAACCTGCATGTTAAAAGATTTGCGGATCGTATTCCGGGGTAATGGTTAGCCAGTGCAGTTGATGAGTTGTCCAGTTTTCTCGGACTCGTCCTTGACACTGGCTCATGCAACTCGTTAACTTAGGGTGTGGTTGTTATGTTGACGAAAGCTTCTACACCTTAAATTCACGCCTAGTTGGCCATAGGGCCGACTATCCTCGTACACGAGGGGCAGCCATTGTATGTGTGTGTGTAATAATAATAATAATAATAATAATAATAATAATAATAATAAACGGTTTATTAATAGAGTTGCAGCCTGTGCCTAAAAATATACAGACTTACATTTGATTTAGACATAATGATATAATATGCATCGAATACATTTACAGGGCTGTGCGGTACATAAATCAGGAGTTATTTATTATTTTAACAATAGATGGGATGGTGCTATTCTTATATCTATCGGTGAGAGCTCTTATGGGCTGAATTTTGTTGTAGTGGCAGACTGCGCGAGGTGGGTGGGGGGCTGCTTGTGGCAGGAAGTGGCAATGACGAGGGCGGTGCATTAGTTCACTGCCAAACCTTGCCAGTGCTTGGTGGTGGAGGTCACTGAGGGATGGTATTTCCAGGGTGGAGAGAGCGTTGATGTAGCTGGAGTATTCTGCGCCGAGCATGATTCTGCAGGTCCTTTTCTGTACCTTCTCTAGCCGACGTTGTTGGGTGGAGTTGAGAGAAGACGACCAGGCTGGTGACGCATACGTTAGTTTGGGGAGAATAAAGGCGTTGTAGATAGTCCTCAGCTCTGGCGTGGGTGTCTCAAGTGACCAAAGTCGTCGTAGCATGTAGAGTCGGTACGAGGCTGCCTTGACTGTGTTAATTACATGGGCTTTCCAGTCCAGTTTGTTGTCTATAGTTGTGTATGTGTGTGTGTGTGTGTGTGTGTGTGTGTGTGTGTGTGTGTAACTAAACTAAAATTTACAAACAGCACCAAATCACCTGAAATTTAGCCCCTAGTTTAATTTACCTGAAGATCAACCAAGCTAACCTAGCATAATCTTAAAACTGAAACCCCTAAATACTTATTTAACTTGCTTAAACCGAAGCTAAACCAATACAATCTAACCCGACGATACCAAATCTGCCCACCTGGTAGCGTTATGATCACCTTAATATTTCAACACATGTCAACACTCTCTCATGGGTGAACGCAGAGGTAGTGGGGAGGGTAAGAGGTATTGTGGAGTAATTGTTGTTATTTATAAGATTTTTATAAACCTCTTGAGAACGAGAACTTTACACCATGAGTACAAAGACATAAGCATTTGAGTACAATGTTTTAATCTCTTGAGTTACGATGCCAACATCTTGAATAAAATAAGTTTGTGTATTGAATGAGATACATTATGCCCTTGAGTACGGAAATAGACATTTGTTCACAATGTTTTAATCCATTCGGGACTGTCAACGAATGGAAAATGCACAGAACATATTTTTCTTACCGTAGAGTTCAGATACCTTCACACTGGTTACTCAGGAGATTATGGTGTATCACTACGTAGAATTTCACTCCACTTCCGGCATTCAATGTGTTGTATACTTGATAAACGATGATTTCATGAATTCTATTCATTTTCAACATCCATCTAAGTCATTAATTATACTTTGCCATAACCAATCAGTCATTACCTTTAGTAATCATAAGATATGGATCACAGATACGGGCAGATATCTGCACTTACATTTATTTGGCAAGGTTTCATATACTGACTACCAATTTGCCTGGGAAGGTGAATCATTCACATTAACGCTACAGTAGCCGTAATTTTATAAGGGGAATTTGTCAACCTGGGAAAGTAACTGCTTAGATTTACTAGGCCGGCCTGGAGTGCTCTTAGCAAACAGGCCTTCACCAGTGATCACTTTTCTTCGCGGGATTTATTAACTTAGTCAGTAAACTAAAATAAATTCTTGGGGTTTTGCACACACAGCCTCGTAACACTGACAGTCTCTGGACGGTGTCGTGGTAGGACTGTATGACCCCTGTCTCTTAAGTCTACGGAGCAAGAGGTCTTAACTACTCCACGGTCTTGGGCCTACTGCCAAAATATGGTCGTGGTTGAGTGAGACAGATGGACAATACAACACTTCTCACACCTCCCACAGCCTGCTTCACATACCCGCTAATGGCACGGTGGTGCCGGAGTCAGGGGTGGCCTGGTGTCTTATTTCCCGTAAACAGCACTGAAGTGGTTTGCTTGAGTAGGCCTAACGCAACCCATGACAAGTACAATGCCAGCTTCCTGAGTACAGTGACTAAGACACAATAAGCCCTTGAGTACGGGGATATACCCCTTGAGTTTGAGGGCTTAACAACCCCTTGAGTACTAAGACAAACACTAGAGTACAATATTTTAATACCTTGAGAACAATGAATTAAGTCATTGAGTGACATCTCGTGAGCCCTAGAATCCGATGTTTTAATCCATTAAACACTATGGCTTCTTCCCAGAGCAAGATAACACTGCAACTCACTGGACTGAGTCCTCATCCTCAAGGGGTTGTCAAGTATTCGTACTCGTACTCAGAGGGGTTTGTTGGTTCTTCAATCCTCATACTCAAAGGGGGCATTAAAGCAACTTATAAAAGGAAGTCATAGGTAAACTTGCAATATCCACAAATCTTGCAATTGCTCTGAAAACCTGGCTAAACATACGACGATCCCTTGCAAAGAAGTATATTTTACCCTTCAGTGTTGATATCATGTAAGGTATGTGAGTATTGTTGTCGGGTTTATGTCCTCCTGACGCAGACGTCGTGAAATGTGTGGAGACTAATCCTGTCACCTTCTGAAGCATTGTTGCCAAGTCTTTTCGTCGTGATTCTCTGGTTAAGACTTGGGTTAAGAAGTGAAGGAATGTGCTACCTCTCATCTCACTGTTACCAGACCTGATGGTGAACTTTCCTGTTGGAGTGGAAAATATTTTAACACCAAAATATAATAATAATAATAATAATAATAATAATAATAATAATAATAATAATAATAATAATAATAATAATAATAATAATAATAACTAACACCAGTAACAACAACAATAGCAATAGTAATAAAAATAATAAGACTATCAATAATAATGAAAATTAAATTGTAAATAAAAAAAGATAAAAAAATAATAAAATAATCACAGGTCGAAAACTAACATCAATAACCATATATTAAATCATCACTATATCAGTTAACAAATAAAGAATTGCCTAACTAAACCCCTATTTTCTCTCAATTTTATTACAGTACCATCAGTAACACTAACCACTGCAAGACGCATGCATCAGTAGCATATCTCCTTGTGGTGGTATAACGAAGTCTTCTCTTGAGGGTTCCCCAGGGCGAGTATCCGCTTGTGTGTCCTCATCATTGTCTTGATGCTGTAATTGAACGCCCTCGTCAGCGCCTTCTCCTTGGCAGACCTTGAAGAGTACAGTAATGTGTAGGAAAATAGGTTCCTATATTTGCTAGGGCAGTGTCTTAGGGTTTCAGGTTTGAGCAGATATTTTTTTATTATCTCTTTTGATAGATGGGCACCTGCGATCCAGGTAATGTTGATACTGTATAATCGGTCAATCGCACCGACACAAGTTGAATAGCCGCTCTCCCAGGCTCCTAGGATGAACAGTTAGTTTTGTGGACTGTACTTGCCTCATACATCGATCCCTCTTAAAATGATGTTAAGAGAGCAAAGGATGTCTTAAATCAAATAGTCATTGTCGCAAAATAATTATTAATTTCTATGGACTTATAACATTAACAACAAAATGTATCCCTATTTTGCAAGATTACGTGTATTTCAGGACTTAATTGGACACCTCAGGTAATCATCAAAACAATATTCTACAACTATCTATTTTAGTCTTATTTAGTATTATATAATTAGTCCTAACTCACCTGGAAGAAAAATAACTTTGGTTTTCCCTTAAGAGACGGACACAGGTCGGGGGTGAAGCTCCTCCATATGTCCTCAGTGTTGATTTCGTCATCAGGGACCCACACAACCTCCCTGTTGGCCTCTGTGCTAGTGGTCCCGTGAGTCATGACCATCACCACCAGGCCGTCACACTCACGGTGGTCCATGGCGGCAACTATGGAAAATATAGATTAAATCAACTAATTACGAGAACAAAACACAAGATATAAAGAACGAAATAAAAAAAAATAGGAGGAAAAGAAGAAGATCAAGAGAAAACACAAGAGACAAGGAAAGCAAGGAAATTATGCATACTTGCATAACGTTTGAAACACCAAAAACATTAAAGAAACTCAGTCAGTCAAGGTGCATCCTCAGGTTTCAGGGTTGGCGACCACGGCCCTCCACTCTAAGTGTATTTAGTCTGTCTTTTTCCAATTCTGCTAGATGTTGTAACTCTACAGTCTACAGGGACCATAACTGTAAGTATCGTCCATCCATTTGATTATTGTCTTTGTCTTCCCCTCGCCTTTCTACCTATAAACTAAGTGATCTAGCTTCCTCGTCACCAGTCATCATCCTAAGTATTGTTACGAAATGGTGGACACAGTTACTTAGTTGTAGTGACTGTAGTATAGATTGTGTTCTCAGGTCTCGACCTATTGTCACCTCGAAACCCAGATGAGAGAACAGCCGCCTGCAGGAGTCGACCCCATCACTGACACACAGACACTTCTGCGGGAACAAAAAGGGTTTAACTTATCATAATCAAGGGGTTAAGTCATCGTACTTCAATGGGGTTGTTATCATACTTAAGGGTTGCCTCATTACACTCAAAGGGTTAGCTCAACATACTCAAGGGCTTAAATTCACCATACTAAAAGGTTTACCTTTCATACTTTACGGTTTAAGTCACCATACGCAAGGGATCTATCATACTCAAGGGCTTACTTAACATACTCAAGGGGTTAAGTCACCATACTAGAGGGATAAACCTACCATACTCAAGGGGTTAACGCCAGGAGTTTTAATCAACATTTTATGCTGAAGGGAGTTGTCGTGTCGACAACCGTAGTTTTAAACGCGAAGGAACCAGCTCTGCAGCGCACGACGGACAAGGGCAGCGGAAAAACGAACTGATAATATTAGAATTTGAAGATGTGGCTGGTAGCTGATCTTCATTACACTCTTCGTAATTGTTTTGTTTGTTTAATTGGATATTTACAGTAAATGCGATTAATGAAAAAATAAAACATAATGGAAATTTTATAAACCTATTTTTATATTAATGTTTTTACATCCAAAATTAGGATATTTTCAAGTAACTCGTGTTTTGTTTTATTGCTAAGTGCAAGGTCGTTCAACTGCTGGAGTCATCTCATCTTACAAACGCTGGTATTAATCAGGTAAGCACATTTAAGATAATTAATTCGGCATTTTAGCAGCTTTGTGAGTATCCGTCTGGAAAATATAAACGGGTGATTTTCTGGGCTAGAAATCTTAAAATGGCTTGAACCAAATTTCACTGGCATCGTCACTTAACTTTATGCTACATATATCAATAAAGTAAGCAAAAAATAAATAAGATAAATAATTCAACTTTTAAGAAGTTTTGTAAGTGAGTTTTCGTATAGAAAATACATTTTTCCTCGCCAATCAGTGGTACCAAAAACTCCCATGTTGATGATCGTCCGTGTAGAGTCCGGCATACCAACCATACGAATAAGTCGACCCATTTGCATCAGCGAAGGTGGACAAGCTTACCAACCCAATTATCGACGGTCTCGCACGGAGGGGAACAGGTTTGGGCGATTAAAACTACCACTTGAAAGAACGACTCCCACCTGAGGGTTCTTCGTCGAAGAAGGAAGGAGGGTGTAAGTCACCAAACTCAAGGGATAAACCTACCAGACTCAAGGGATAAACCTACCATACTCAAGGGGTTAAATCACCATACGCAAGGGATAAACCTACCATACTAAAGGGATAAACCTACCATACTCAAGGGGTTAAGTCACCATACGCAAGGTATAAAAGCTCTGAATGTTGTCCGTTTACATGGAATTTCCTAATTTTGGTCCAATTTACATTAAACAGCTGCCTAAATCTACTTAAATAAGTATCCAGAACACCTCCACACACTTACCTTAGGTCGCACCTTTAAGGTGTTATGGGTCAGCACTAGCGCCACACCTCTCCGTCTGTGTCTCATGTTATATTTTATTGAGTGGCGTCCTCCCGGCATGGTGGCCTCCCGCTCCTTACATGAAGTGAACCTGTCAATGGACAACACATTATTCGAATCCCATTATCTTATTTCATAACCATACTGCTTATTTCATTATATTACAATTCATATTCATAATAACTGGTGTACCTTATAATCCGTGTACGTAAAAACTCATGTAATAATAATAATAATAATAATAATAATAATAACAATAGTAATAATAATAATAATAATAATAATAATAATAATAATAATAATAATAATAATAATAATAATAGTAATAATAATAATAATAATAATAATAATAATAATAATAATAATAATAATAATAATAATTATTATTATTATTATTATTAACGGTTTATTGAAAGAGCATGACAGCCAGAAGGCTGAAAATATACATTTACATAATTAGGAAATGGATCACGTGATTGACATATAACATACAAATATGATATATAATAACAAGGGGGGGGGGGAGAAAGTCATACTACATGGAGTGAATACACTGGTTGACTACGAGTTGTTGATAATTTTTACAATAGTTGGACCAGGGATGCTCTTATAGCGACCAGTTCGTGCTCGTACAGGCTGGATGCGGTTATGGTATCGAACAGCACTTCGCGGACAAGGGATATCGGTTGGAAGCAGGAACCGGTGCTGAGGGTAGTGCAGAAGCTTCTCACCAATTTGCATATGAGGTCATGGTGATGATCAGAGAGAGCGAGAGGGTCAGTGTGCTGAGCGCCTCTTGAAATGTGGAGTAGGAAGGGAAGAGAATAATTTTGCATACCCCCCTCTGCTCTTTTTCTAGGTGTTTACGTTGTATGGCATTTAGGGAGGAAAACCAGGCAGGGGAGACCATAGGTGAGTTTAGGAAATATGAACATTGAGTAACCACTAAAGAGCTCGGGCGCGGTAACTCCGAGGGACTTGAGTCGGCGGAGGAGGTAGAGACGAAAACTGGAGGATTTGACAATTGTACTGACGAGGAGTTTGGTACAGTCTACAACCTGGAGTGTGTTGGGCCCAAAGTAATGGAGGGAGGTGGGACAAGGTCAGGGGGGAGGGTGATGTGCATAACCGTGGTCTTGGTATGGTTGATGGTGATATGGTTGTTGGTGGCATGGTTGTTGGTGGTCCAATTTTGGAGACTGTAGTCTGGAGCCGAGTTGTGCACACTGGTCCCAAAGGTGGAGTAGTTGACATATTTCTAGCGAGCAGAGATTTCTCTTTGGGCATTATTGATAAGCATGAGGAAGCAGAGCAGTCCCATCTTCGTGCCTTGGAGGACGCCACAGGCGAGTGACTGAAAGGTGGAAAGAGCTCCTCGGAAGCATACAGCTTGACGTCGGTCACTAAGGAAGTCTGTCAGCTATGGTATAAGATTTCTCCGAAACCCGAGGTCGATAGCTTTGTTGGTAATTAAATTGTGGTTGACAAGGTCAAAAGCCTTGGAGACGTCAATGAAGGTGACAGCCACAGACATCTTCCGTTTTTCCAGATGGCGGTATATGTAGTCAAGAAAGCTGACAAGACAGTGAGTGGTGGAGGAAGTTTTCATATTGTCAAATTGCTGAAGATCTATGGAGCCTGCAATATAAGCAAAGGTTCAGTCAAAAAAGAAACATTCAAAGATTAAACTGGGTATTGGGGTAATGGCAGTGAGTAGTAGCTCATTTAAGGCTTGTGGGCTCGTTGACTTGGGCACTGGCGACACATATGAGGTCTTCCAGTCAGTTGTGCATCTTGCTTGACTGATGAAGCATTGATGGTGGAGCAGATGGGTTTAGCTAACTCCTTGTAGAGTTTCATTGGTAAGTCAATAGGGGTGGTGGAGCGTTTTAACTTCAGTTTGTCCAAATGTTTTGCTACTTCAAATTCTTCCACTAAGTCAGCAGGAAAGGGGTCTGGTAGGTAAGCAGGGAGACTGGTTGTGTCAAGCCGGGGGAGCGTCTGGCATATAGCTGCGAAAGGGTAGTTTGATTACTCAGCTGTGTCACCATTAGTGAGATGGCTAAGGCAGGGGAGGAGGTGTAATGGTCAGCATGCAAGCCTCGCAACCGAACGGACCCGGGTTCGACCCCAGGGCAGGGTGAAATTATGGGCAGTTCCTTTATGCCACTTGCCTCTGTCTACCCTGCTGTAATTGGGAACCAGGATGTTAATCGATTTGCGGATCGTGTTCTGGGGTAATGGTTAGCCAGTGCAGTTGGCGAGTTTTCCGGTCTTCTTGGACTATTCCTTGACACTGGGTCATAAAACTCGTTAACTCAGGATGTGGATGTTGTGTTGGCGACAGCTTATACACTTTAAACAAATTCACGCCAAGGTGGCCCTTGGGCCGGCCACCCTCGTTACACAAGGGGCAACCAGTATTATCATTAGTCCACAGAGTGCTTTAAATTTACATGCCACTGACTGACGTTGGTCTGCTTCAGATGATGCAGCTTGGTCGGGTAGTAGGACTTCTTTGCACCGCATACTTCACGGACGATTTGTTTGTGAAGAGACCTGTAGCGGTTGTGGTCATTGAGATAAAGCGCTTTGTCTCTCTGCTGCATAAGTCTTTTGATCCGAGGTGTGATCTAGAGCAATTCAACTGGGTATAATCTGACTGACTTCTCGTGGAAGAAGTGGTGGTGAGCTTCCGTGGTGGTTTTGGTGTAATTTTTCCATTTGATGTCCATGTCATCCACACTTAGTACTTCAGTCCAGGGATGGTGAACTATCCACTGCCCGAAGAGATGTAATGCAGAGTCGGGAATCGGCCAGTAGGTATTGATGTCGGGGCTCTGCAATTGGCTGGTCGTGGGAGCTGGAGACCAGAAAACTGATAGGTGTGTTTTACACCCGATAGGAGGCATTGGTTGAGGTGGTTGGTACTGGTCCGATAAGTCAGTTAAGATAAGGTCAAGGGTGTTTTAACCGTGCATAGGGAAGTTTACAGCTTGTGATAGTAGCAGCTGGTCCCAGATATCAGTGGTGTCAATTTCGTTATAATCCCCGCATAGGACTAGCCTGGCACATGGGTACCTAATTCTGAGGTGGTCTGAGGTGGTAATGAGGTCATTGATAAGAGTGTCTCTGGTGGGTGAGCGAGGTGGATGGTATGCCACACAGTATATGATAGAAGCAGTGTGACGAGGGTGGGCAAGTGGCACAACACATACCCATAATGCCTCCACATCAACTGGGAATAGGACATCCAGGCGTGACAGACGTAGGTTCATCTTGACAGAAGAAGGCAATGGCCCCTCCCTGCCCACGTGTACGAAGATGATTAAAGAGTTGATATCCCTCAATGTAACAAGTTTCAGGAACAATTCGCTACGCCTCGCTGATGGCAACGATGTTGGTAACAACTGACAGGACTATGGTAGCGAGCTCATCAAATTTGATGGCAAGGGATGTGACGTTGAAGTGCATCAAGGATGGGTGAGTACCACATTCGGGGAACTTCAGTGTATTGGTATGGTCCGTCAGGAGTAGGCTTCTTTGGTTTTCTAGTGGAGGCAATAGTCTTGATGGGCTTCTGTTTATGTATGTAATAACCTAAGTATGCAATAATATGTGTGCATGACAATACCGTGTGCATAACAACCCATGTACATAATAACCTATGCACACTACGTAACAGCCTGTGTATATGTACTACTACTACTACTACTACTACTACTACCACTTTTTTTTTTTTTTTACGTGGCCTCCAGCCTCCCCCAATAGCCACACCTTCGCCACCATTTATTTACCTTAATATTAAATATCCTAATACATAATAAGCTATCCTATCCGTGTTAAATTAGTTGAGCCGCAGATCTATGCGGCATTCAGTGACTGTAGCCTCATAGTCAATATCTGCAGCAGTTGTCGGAGTAGGGGCAGAAGCTCTCGTTCCCCTGAGGCAGAGCAAAGCCGACCGAAGGAGAGAGAAGGACAGTCGACATCTCATCCAGGCTGTAACATAACTTCTGGGCTGCTGCTTCTGTTCGGAGATCAACTTCGCGAGTCTGGCGTAGAAACATCTTGCACTTGGGCCCATCCCACCAGAGGTTGTGAACACTAGAGGAGTGAAGCTGCCTTGATCAACGTTTTGAATTCTCTCCCCATACGCCCTTCTCTTGTCGTTCTCGTTCCTCCTATGTGCAGCATCGAGAGCTAGGTTACGGTGACAAGTGGCCATGGGATCAAAAATCCTGATGTCGAAGAAAGCTCGCTGTCCCCGCGTCCAGAATCCTCGAGCACTGACGTCCACACGGGCTTCGTTAGATGTGTTTGAAGTCCTGTGTTGGAAGATCTCACCATCCAGTGGAAGGAGGGTCGGTTCTACCATGACGTCCCGGCAGATTTCCTTCAACATATTTGCTGTGAGATCCCTTACCTCGTCATGCCTCATGCATATGAAGCCCCCCTTCTTGCAGACCATGGCGTGATCGCCGTCATAGGAAGAGCCACACACGCATTGGGAGGGCAAACCATCCACTGGCCAACCGTACCTTAGAGCAATGGCATCTGTAAATTCTTGTTTGTTAAGGCTGAAACCATTTGCCCTTATCGGTAACGTAGTTAACCAGTTCGAGGCGCCCACCTCCTGCGCTATAGCTACTTTTTTTGTCAAATTTTCTGAAACCTGCAGCAATAGTTGCTGCAACATGTCATTTTGGCAGTGCTGCCGATCTGTTGTAATGGCCCTACGGATCTTATTTACTTCGCTGGTGTCCACTTCCTCTGTTGCCTTCTGGGCTATTATGTGGTCAGTGAGGGCTGCCGTGAGCTTAAGTGAATTTTGATGTTCAGTGTCAGCAATCTCCTCTGGATTAGTTAGTCCCATCCCTCCCAGTCTTGGTGGAAGTGCAAGAAGTGCTCTTTCTGCTGGGGTTAAGTCAGGGTGTTTCACTAGTTTGGGAATGAACTTGACACTGATAGCTTCTTCCAGAGGGTGGAGGAGGGGTCCGATCTCAGGGATGGTACGCATCAGGTAGTTCCAGCGATGCTTGACTCCATGGGTGAATGCTGCAAAGGCCGCATGTGGCTCTGTGTTAGCAATCTCAGATAGAGCTTGGAT